AGGCTAGGAGTCCAAATTCAGGTTATAGGCAGGGCCATGCTTTTGCCAAAAGCTTCTGGTAGCACCAGGCATTCTTTGCTTGTAGCTACAGCAATCTCTGCCTCTGTTGTCATCACATGGCTGTCTTCCCTCTGTGTCTCTGTGTCTCCTTTCCCTTATTATAAGGACACTGCTCAAATTGGAATGAGCCCTGGTGGCATAGTGGTTAAGTCCCTGGCTGCTAACTAAAAGGTTGGCAGTTCAAACCCACCAGCCACTCCACGAGAAAAAGATGAGGTAGTCTACTTCCATAAAGATTTACAGCCTTAGAAACCCTATGGGGCAGTTCTACTCTGTCCTGTGGGGTCGCTATGAGTCAGAATCAACTTGATGGCAGTGGGTTTGGTTTTTTGGTATTTATTTTTGATCAGGACACAACCTAGTCCAGTATGACCTCATATTAACTGAAAACATCTTCAGAGACACTATTTCCAAACAAGATCACATTGATGGGTACCTGGGAGTTAACACTTCAATGTACCTATTTGGAGAACACAAATCAACCCCTAACTTTTGGGTGAAACTACTCTGTAACAGGCCCCAGACCACATAGACAGGGACGGTCCTCTGGGTTTTGTTGTTAAAGGAAAAGTTTCAGAATCACTGTCTCAGGAGAGGGGCCCTCTCTGCCATAACGGCTACCTAACACCTGGCCTCTTCACTTGGCTGTGTCCCAATAACCTTGAGAATGAAGAGGGGAGACAGCTCTTTTGCATGGCTTAGGGTATTTGAGCACAAACCTGTTTTCACCAGGGCCCTGGATGTGCCAGGTACATTGGGAGCAGCTAAACCATCTGAGCAGGTGAATTCCACACCAGGTACACTGAGCTGTGTGAACCCCCTCCCCACTAAGGAGAGATACCCTACAGGCCAGGGCCTCTATTTGTTTAGTCATAACAGAGTTCCCCATTCCGTCTCCATCTTGGGCCGTCCCAGGAGGCAAAGATGGTTTCAAGCATCTGACCCAAGGACCAATGTGAATCTTTCACTTATGAAGGCTTGAGAACCTGCCAGTGGACAGAAACTGAGGTCTCTGCCATGCCCTCAATGAGCTCTGGTGGCACAGTGGTTAAGCACTTGGCTGCTAACCAAAAGGTTGGCAGTTTTAACCCACCAGCCATTCCATAGGAAAAAGATGTGGCAGTTTGTTTCCTGAAAACCCTATGGAACAGTCTTACCCTGTGCACAGGACCTCCATGAGTTGAAATGGACTCAGTGGCACACAACAACAATACCCCTACCCTCTGTTGATTCTTATATTATTGACATTATTCATATAGCTAATACTGTCTTTTAGGCCATGCTATGAAATGCTGGATATCCATGGGCACCAAAGTGTTAATTCTTTGCAGCTAGGTGGGACTCCTGGACTTGCTTGTGAAGGGGGTCTACACCAGTTCTTCTCAAACGTTGTTACATATTAGAACTTTGAAACCTCCATGCCCAGGCTGCCCCAGACCAATTAAGTAAGAATCACCGGGCTGGAGTGCAGGCAGTGGTGTTTTTAAAGATCCTCAGATGATGCCAGTGCTCTCTCTTGGATGGGGAGCAGCCTAGTGGCCCCTGTACCCCGTGCCTTGCTGGCTGATGGGTTAGCCTACGTCAGGAGGTGATTCATTCCAGCTGTGGGTTAGATCTCGTGTGCCAGATTCGTCGTGGGTGGCAGCCACCAGCCTTGGGGGGCAGACCTTCCACAACCACACACAAGGGCTCCTGGCACAGCTCCCCCCCCCAGAAGCCCAGAAGGCCAGGCCTTGAAATCTTGAGGTCAGTGCTACTGTCTTCTACGTCAGGCCTGGAAGGCGGGGGTGCCTGTGACCGCTTGCCTCACTTCCCCAGGTTTGTGGTGGGAAAGAGAGAGGATCTGTGGGTTTATCTGCTGAAGGAAAGGGGAACAGGAAGAAGAAATATATATATATATATATTAGGCTAAGGTGGCTCTGATGTTTGCTGTATCCAAAACCAGGCCTGGACACTGGCCTTTGACAGCCACAGCACAGCTCTCTGTTCTTACAGGAAAATGGCCTGAACTCAGTTGGAAACTATGAGTGGAGACCTTCCAGAGGCTTCTGGAATTTTCTTTAACTCTTTTTTGTAGGTGAATTGAGAGGAGTATGAGCTCCAGACTTAGATGGACTTGATCCCAACTCCTACTTGGCTACTTACTAGCAGCAGGACCACAGTCATGTTTCTTAGCCTCTCTGAGCCTGTTTTCTAATCTGTAAAGCGGAAGTACATATGCAGTATGTCAAAAAAGCCGTACGACAGCACCTAGCCCAGTGCCGTTGTTAGCAGGATCCCTGGGGGAAGAATACAGAGAGGGCTAGAGAGGCCGGGGAAGATACCATGATAGAGATGAAGAGAAGACAGAGGCTGACCTCTGTGCCATGTGCTGGGGAGTCGGGGGCTGGAGCCATGCACCCACCCAGCCACGCACCTCTTGGTAACAATGGAGCTTGACCTTTGGGATGGGAAAGTGGGAGGAGGAAGTGGTAGTGTGTTATTCAGTGTGATGCATCTCCTCCTGACAGGCTTGCTGAAGGGAAGAAGTCAGGCAGGCTACATTGTGGGTGCCCTTTTATGTTCAGCTGTATGTGATACTATCAAATTCCCCCACCCAATGCAGACGCCCACAGGACAGTGTCCTAGAGGCAATGCAGAGAGCACAGGCCTCTCAGCCTTCCTCTTGTCACGCTGTGGGGCTCCACAGCACTCACCCTCCCTCTCTGGGCCTTGGTGTCCCCATGTGCCAAAGGAAAATCCTGATCTGCCCCAAGTCTGCTAGATTTTCTATTATTAGGCAAATTCTGGCTGGGTTTTGACTGACAGTTGCACCAAATTGGCTTCTGCTTTCCCAACCGCACCACCCAAGACAACATGATGACAAAACCAGGTAGTGAGTGGCAAAGAACTTGAGAGAAATCTGGGGAGTTGGCACAAAAACAGAGTTGCATAACCTCAGAATTCACTGCTGGACTCCCTCCATATGTACAGGGCATTGACCCCTTCCCTGGGGGAGAGGACATCCAGGGAACACATGAGAAGGATGAATCCCGATGTCATAGAACACAACACAACCGGGATGCCCACCAACGGTGGTACATCCATCCATACAGTGAAGTGGTGTTCAGTGATAAAGGAAATGAGTTAGCAAGCTACAAAAAGACATGGTTGTTGTTGTTACGTGCCGTCGAGTTGGACCCGACTCATAGCAACCCCTCCTTGGGTTTCTGAGGCTATCACTAGGGAAGTAGATTGCCCGTCCTTCCTTCCGAGGAGTGGCTGGTGGGTTTGAACCGCCAGCCTTCTGGTTAGCAGTCAAGTGCCTTAGGCATTATGCTACCAGAGCTCCTAAAAAGACATGGAGGAAACTTAAATGCATGTTGCTAAGTGAAAGAAACCAGTCTGAAAAAAACCACATACTATATTTCGACTAGATGACATTCTGGAAAAGGCAAAACTGTATTGAAAAAAAGACCAGTGGTTGCCAGGGTTTTGGAAGATGGGAAGGAGCAATAAATAGGAAGAGCCCAGAGCGTTTGCAGGGCAGTGAAACTATTCTGTATGATACTGTGATGATGAACACATGACATTATTCCTTTGTCAAAACCCATAGGAATATCCAACACAGAGAGTGACCCCTAATGTAAACTATGGACTTCAGTGAATAATATGTATCAATATTAGTTTATCAGTTGTACAAATGTGCCACAGGAAGGCAGGAGGTTAATAATAGGGGAAACTGTGTTTGAAAGAACAGGGGGTATGTCGGAACTCTGCACTTGCTGTGCAGATTTTCTGAAAACCTGAAGGTGCTTTAAAACATAAAGTCTTTAAAACTTGAAGATAAAAAAGATCACAGTAGGAGAGACGTGGAGTCTTGCTTTAGTTTTTCACATACTAACTGTAGGGCTTTAGGCAAATTACTAATCCCTCTTAGTCTCGGTTATCTCACCTATAAAATGGGGATAAGAAACTCTGTCTTGCAGAGTTTTTGTTGGTGAAGATTAAATGAGATGATGTATACCAGGTGTCTACACAGCAGAGGTACCATGTAAATGTTGGTTGTCCCTTTCTCCCATAACCAAAAACTCCCTTGCCAAGGAGTCAATTCTGACCCATGGTGACCTCACATGTTCTACAGTCGAACTAACTGCTCCATAGGATTTTCTTAGTTGTAGTCTTTAGGGAAGCAGATCTCCAGACCTTTCTTCTACGGCACTGCTGGGTGGGTTTGAACCACCAACTTTGGGTTGGAAGCCCATTGCAAACTGCTTGTGCCACCCCAGAGACTTTGTATGCCCTAGGAGAGGAGATTTATCTCCTTGATTACTAGAGACGGCCATAGCCCTTACCCACCTACTCACTCATTTATTTGATAGATTTATATTTACTTCTTATTATGTGCCAAGCACTGTGGCAGTGGCATGGGGCTTGAACTGACGTCCATGTGCCCTTGGCCCCCTGGGTCTAGAAGAATCCTTATCATTCCCATCGGTATATGCTGGCACCATGTGTACACATTTAACCCTCCATCTTTATTATTACCGCCTTGAGGAGCTTGCATTTCTTTGCATCTCCCATAGCATCTAGAAGCATCTTTTCCATAGCAAACTGAGCGAGCTCTGCTGATTCTGCAGATTCACAGTCAGTGCCTGAGTGCCACGTGCTTTCACATTGTTTTCAACAACCCAGAGGAGTAGGTATTATTCCCATTTCACAGATGAGGAGGCTGAGGCTTAGAAAGATTTAAATTATTTTCCCAAGGGTGGCAGGCTTAGGCAACAGCACAGGTAGGACTGGACTTCATTGTTCTCACACAGCATCTATGTAATTCCTTTCACTGTGTGGGGTCAAGGCTCCTTTCTTAGGCACAGAGAACTTTGGGATATAGTGTGGTCATTGCCCTTCTCAGCCTGAGAACCACTGTGAACCCACCCCCACTTGGATGTCTGTTGCAGAATGTCTGTAAACCTGCGGAGGAGACGCAGCAGCTGCCTACACTGCAGGAGATCAAGCAGAAGATTGACAGCTACAACACTCGGGAGAAGAACTGCCTGGGCATGAAGCTGGTGAGCAGGACACCCGTCCCCTTCCACCCAGCCCCTGCCACACACCCCTTCTGCTTTGGCTCCTCTGCTCTCCCTCTGGATTCGATAGCAACCCCGTTGCATGTCCCTCCCCTTTCTTCTAGGACTCAGGGACTAGGGTAGACTGACAGCCTGGGCCTCCATGAGCTTTAGGGAAATAGAATGGACTTTACAGTAGAATCGGGATCCAATTTCTGGCTCTTCTACATTTTTGCTTGTGACTTTGGGAAACTTTCTTAACGTCTCTGAGCTTCAGTGTAAAATAGAGATAGTGATATCCATCTGTCCAAGATGATGTGGGAATTAAATGTCAGACAATAATCAAGAGCCTGGTATGTCTTGACTCCCAGGAAGCCCAAGACAAGAAGCGTTTGCAGCTCCTCTTCCTGCCCCTTTTGTGTTTTGCACAGTTACTGTGTCTCTGGAAGCGTCCTTAGATTGTGCCAGTGCTCAGGGGTATGCCGGGCACCCAACTTCGTGCTGTGTCCCAAAAGGCTGGCTTCAAACAGGGAGGGGAGGAGATGGTAGAAGAACCCTGCCCCCTGCTGGTGGCTGGCAACAACTGACTCTTGAGGCTTCAGCCTGGTAAACCCACTGCTGCTGCCAGGGCAGTGGATCCTGACTCATGGTGACCCCGTGTGTTATAGAGCAGAAGTACTCCATAGGGTTTTCTTGGCTGTAATCTTTGCCAGAGGAGAACTCCAGACTTTTTTCCCATGGTGCCACTTGATGGTTTCAAACTGCCAACTTGTTGGTGCATAACCAAAACTAAATCAAACTCACTGTCATCAAGTCGATTCTGACTCATAGCGACCTCCATTGGGTTTCCAAGGCACTAAATCTTTGCAAAACTAGATTGCCTCATCTTCCTTCTACACAGCATCTGGTGGGTTTGAACCACCATCCTTCTGGTTGTCAGTCAAATCCTTAGGCACTGCGCCACCATAGTTGAGTGCAAACCATTTGTACCACCCAGTGACCTAGGTAGGGTGCCAGAAAATCTAGTTGCAAATGGCCCTGGGGTTAAATCTTACTGACTGTAGGTTCTTTGGAAAGAGATCCGAAAGGAAATCTCGTGTTCCGAGAACCGTGTTAGGAGCCTTCCCTGTACCCTTTTGGAGAGGGACCCGCAGGGAGTAGGAGATAAGAGAAATGTTTTGCTTGGAGATGTGAACTAAAGAGACCACATTCCAGACCCTCTTGGAGTGGGAATTGCTAAGGGCATTAGGTGTCTACCTAGTGACAGGAAGTTTGGAGCAGGAACCTGAGCCTCTTGGAGGAAAAGCCATGGAAGGCCCTAGAATTCCTCTCTCGTTACTAGATACCATGAACCTTCTCCTGGCCCACTATGGAGAAAACATGTCTTTACCCCACCAGTATCCCTAGACCAGCAGAGATGGGAAGGAACTCAGGGAGATGGGTGGGTATTGAGGTAGGGGGCTTTCCGGGATGGCACTCCACATTAGGAAAGTCCTCTACAACCGCGGGGGCAATGGCCCAGAGTGGTAGATACGATCATGCAAGAGGGCCTTTGCCCTGACTCCATATGACACCTTCCCCCTGGCAGAGTGAAGACGGCACCTACACAGGTTTCATCAAAGTGCATCTAAAACTACGGCGGCCAGTGACAGTACCAGCCGGGATCCGGCCCCAGTCCATCTATGACGCCATCAAGGAAGTGAACCTGGCAGCCACCACAGACAAGCGGACATCTTTCTACCTGCCACTCGATGCCATCAAGCAGCTGCACATCAGTAGCACCACCACAGTCAGCGAGGTCATCCAGGGGCTACTCAAGAAGTTCATGGTGGTGGACAATCCCCAGAAGTTTGCACTTTTTAAGCGGATACACAAGGATGGGCAAGGTATGAGAGCAAGTTCCAACCAGGAACTATCTTCCCCAGCTCTGTCCGTGCCCATGGACACCAGGGCCCGCCATGGGTGGGAGGAGTGGGTTTTCCTGTTGACAGAGGTCCAGACATCCCTGTGGCACTCAGCTGTGTGGAAGAGCCACATGTGGATTCTGGGCAAAAGCAGAGAGCTGGGCAGAGCAGCTCCTAATCCCATATGGGACTTCAGGAAACCACACCCTGGGCTCCCATTTGGAATCTGTGTAATGGGGAGAATCCGCCCTGCCACTTCTAATCTATTGGGAGATTATATGAACGGAAACATTAAACTCTGAGCAGATACCCAAGATAAAAAGGATAGTTCTGTGCTTATTCTTATCAAGTTTATTTTACTGGGTTGAAAGCACAGCCACTTCCGGTTACAGCCACCCAGACCTCAGCTTTTCCAGTTCCATCCCACCCAGCCGGGGCCCCGCCCTTCTTTTCCGTGATGACATCCAGCCCCCTCTCTTGGTTTGCAGTGCTCTTCCAGAAACTCTCCGTGGCTGACTGCCCCCTCCACCTGCGCTTACTTGCTGGTCCTGACACTGATGTTCTCAGCTTTGTGCTAAAAGAGAATGAAACTGGAGAGGTGGAGGTAAGCCCAAGACACTTTGCTCATTACACAGGCCCAGTCCTCAGGGTTAAATGGGGAGGGTGCCGCTGGCCGCTGTGCTGACCACCTGGCACAGGTGAGACCAGGCGGTAGCAGCCAGGAAATGACTCTGAGAAGGTTGAGCTGGGGTGAGTGTTGGTTCAGACTCCTAAGGTAGCAAGTCAGGGCCTGTGCTAGGCAACGCCTGTGAAAAGAAGGCATTTCATGTGCTTTATTGCTGAAACTCAGGGTGGAGGGGGACTGAGAATCTCCCCGTGTCCAGGCTGAGGGGTTTCTGCTGCAGCATGGCAGGAGGCCCAGCCAGCTCTGTTACAGGGCACCACTGGACGTGGACACTTTTGAGTTATACTTCTTTCCCCAGTTCACCTTCCCCCAGGAGGACCAATGTCCAGTCTTGTGGTATAAGTGGTATAAAACTAAGATAAGACCAGGTTGGTGGAATCATCAAGACGTGACCACAAGCAGAGTAGGGTGCTGACTGTGGTGGTGCAACCCAGCATGCTTGGTCACACTCCACTCAGTGAATCCTGGGCTTTGAGGTCACTGTGGGGACTTAGAGGAACCTAGGCAGGTGGGAGATTGCTCCCCTCCCCACTTCAACCAGAAGCATATCTGCTTCCATCTCCTTTATATATTGGAATCTGTGAAGATTTTGTTTGGAAAAAGTATTACACTGTAAATGTTTGTGCATTGATGGCCCAGCGGAAGCGCATGGCCCAGGTGTTCTAGTTCTAGTTCTGCTGCCACAGCTCCATGATCATAGGTAAGCCCAAACCATTTTCCCACTACACACTTCAGTTTTCTCATTTTTCTAATGTGGGGATTAAACCTGATCGACCTTAGTATTCCTATGTGCTCAAGGTGCTTAGTAGTCTTTATCCTTGACCCCACAGGAGCCTCAGCTCCTAGGTTATCCTGAGACAAGTCAGACATGCCTTACGCCCTCAGAAGCCAGGTCCTACTCTGGCAGGCCTGAGCCAGCTGGAGTTTCCAAGGCTTTTCAGGTTACCTTCTCTCTTGATCTCCCATGGGAAGTGGATACTCTAATTTCACGGCAGATGAGGACACGGGCTGGGAAGGATGGAGTGATGTGGTCAGGGGCACAGGGCTGATGAGATCCAGGCTTCCTGTGTCCAAGTCCAGCACTCTCCCACCACCCCTTCAAGGTGTGCATGTTGGGGAGCCTGGTGCGGATCATCCCAAAACAGACAATGACAGCAGGCCGGCAGGGGAACTGGGCACGTTCCAGCACCACTGTCAACATCTCAGCTGCTATAGAGAAAGCTTAAGATGATTGATTCTCAAACGTATGGTCATGAGATGCCAGGATTTTAAATTCTGTTGCTGAAATGGCAGAAATGTAAAATCCAACCATCACTCAATCATTACACTGGCCTAAAAAAGAAACCCCAAACCAAACCCACTGCCATTCAATCAATTTCAACTCATAGAAGCGCTATAGCAGAGAACTGAACTACCCTCATAGGTTTTCCAAGGCTGTAAATCTTTCTGGGAGCAGGCTGCCTCATGTCTCTCCCGCAGAGGGACTGGTGGATTCAAACCACTGACGTTTTGGTTAGCAGCTGAATGCTTTAACCACTGCATCACCAGAGATCCTTTATACCTGCTATTCAGTAGCAAAGGGAGACCTAATGGTTAAGCATTTTGCTACTAACTGAAAGATCAGTAGTTCCAATCCACCCAGCCACTCTGCTGGAGAAAAGACCTGGCAGTCTGCTCCCGTAAAGATGACAGCCTAGAAAACCCTATGGGGCGGTTTTCCTTTTCACATGGGGTTGCTACGAGTTGAAATCAGCTTGATGGCACGCAACAACATGCAGCAGCAAACTGTATGAATCTCAGATGCAAACTGGGTGAGAAGGGAGGCAGCAGGGCCCTGAGGTCATGCCAACTTCTAACCTGTCTCCTTTCCTGTTTCTTTCCCCACATCTGCCTCTCACCTCCCAGTGGGATGCCTTCTCCATCCCCGAGCTCCAGAACTTCCTAACAATACTGGAAAAAGAGGAGCAAGACAAAATCCAGCAAGTGCAGAAGAAGTATGACAAGTTTAGGCAGAAACTGGAGAAGGCCTTAAGAGAATCCCAGGGCAAACCTGGGTAACCGGTCCTGCTTCCTCTCCTCCTAACACCCTCGGATTTATTTTTATTATTAATTATTATTTTGCAACGGACACTTTTTCTCAGGGTGCCTCTGGCGGGTGTGTGTGCACTTGGCCCGCAGCTCCGTGGCACCAGTTCTCTCCGGTGGACACCTGTGTGTGCGGGGCTCATTCCTGCCCTGCTGCACCCTCTCTGATTCCACCAAGGGATCAGTGCTCCTGTAAAAAGAAAAACCGTCGTCCTCTCTCAGTCTGCAAGCCTTTCACAAACCAAATAATTGCCTCTCTCGTCACCAAACTGGAACCTGTCACACTAGCCAACAAAGGAAGGACAAAGGTTTTAGAGTTATCTGTTCTTTCTTCAATTTCTCTCTTACTTGCCGCCCACAGGAACTTTTATTTATGAATCAAAAGTTGTAGCATATTCCTTTCGTGGGTCTGACCTTAGCCCTCAAAGCAGGACAATGCTCCCGAAAGGATGGTTCCCCGCTGCCCCAGGTGTCCACTGTCCATGCTTAAGGGAAGGTTGTGAAGCCACTGGCCCCACATGCTCAGGGGAAAGAGCACCAAAGCTGAAGCTGGCTCAGAGATTTCCAGAGAAGCTGCAGCCAAGAGCCCGAGCCCATATAAACCCAAAGGCCCATGTCTGTGTACGTATGGTACCTGTTCACATCTCTGTCAACACCCTGTTTGTTTTTAAGTTACAAATTCAAATTCAGTATTGCCATCATCCTCATGCTTTCCACCAAAGGGAAACCAGCCATTTACCATTTTTAACATCTCCTGCTGAGTAAGGAAATCTGGCAGTTAAAGAAAGCCAAAAACCATGTCAAAGCTGACTTCAGCTTTCCCCCAACTAGAAAGCAGAGAGGGCCTGGGCGACCTTAGTTTCCCTTAGCTTCCAGCACTGCCTCTTTCCTCCCGCAGGGACTCTGGATGCTCCGGGTGCTGCCAGAGGAGTTGCCTTGATTAAAGAGGGGAACCTCCAACTTGGCCAGCAATAGTCCTTTCTGTTCCGAAGCCCAGGCTGGCCCATGACACTGCACTCAGCCTGGTCTGAGAAAGGAAAGAGCCCATAGGCCTGGCCTCCTCTTTGACCTCAGTGCCTTTTTTGTTTTCAGAGAGAGACAGGAGCAGGGCGTGTTTGTTTGAAACTCTGCTGCAGGCCTGCTCCTGCCAGGAAATGGACAGCTAGTGGTGTGGGAGACAAGGCCAGGAGGATCCTTACCCCCAAGGTTGGGGCAAGGCTCACAGACCTCCTTCTCATCTAAGTTCCTGGGCTTTCACTTCCAAGAAGTGAAAGTCAGAGCATGTGGACAGGGCACCTCAGATTTCCTGGCTGTGCAGTTATACTGGCTCCTAGTTTAGGTTCAAACTTAAAAATAAATGAACCAAACCGTTCGAGCAAGTAGTCAAGACTACTAAGACACTCCAAAACAGAGAGATAGGGCCCTTCCTTTTCAAAGCAGGGCCAGTTTCCAGTCCAGCCTCTGAGAGACTGTGTCTTTGCTGTCCTCAGCCTTCCCAAGCCCTTCTGGCATTGGCTTAAGCCCCAGCTTTCTTGTCTAGCCTCAGATGTTCCCTCCTTGACCTTTGCTGTGTTCACATGGCCCCGATCACGGAAGGAATGCTGACCTTCGTCAAACGGAACTGTGTGTAGTCTTCAGAACTACAAAAGCAAGACAAGCTGGTAACTCTAAAAGATCCTTCAGACCACAGAAACCGGGTTATCTGCCATCTTGTCCTCAGCCTGATCGTGGCCCTTCCTTCAAAAATTCTCTCTCCCTGCTGTGTCCTGAAGGAACTGGGTAGTCACTTCTCCTTCATCCTGCATGTCTCTAACATTAACTGAAGGCATGGCTCCTGCTGCAAGTGCTGTGAATGCTGCTGAGAACCTCCCGTGATGGGGTCAGCCATTTTATTTTTGAGAAGGAAAAAGCGATGTGTGTGTATGTGGGTGTGTGTATGTATGTGTGTGTGTTTAAAGGCATATATAGCTATATATAAAGAGATAAGGATGTTTATGAAATAAGAAAATTACAGGAAAAGTCAGATTTCTAAAGCACAGTTAGACCAGGACCTATGCTGAGGTAGGTCTAAGCCTCCAAAAAAAGTCTATGTGAAGAATCCCTTCCCTCCCAGAGGTGGGCCTAGCTGTTGGTAGTGCCTTCGACAGTTGTGTTGCTCAGTGTGTGTTTGTTTTGAGGATATTTTCTTTTTAAGTGTCTTTCTTATATGGGTTTTTTAAAAAAGTAATAAAAGCTTGTTGCAAAGTTGATTTGTATTGTACACTTCTTCCCTGAACTTGCCCATCTTACAGAAATCTGGAGCTGGGAAAGACAGGGACAGGGAAGGGCACACACTTCTTGGCAGAGTCAGACTTTCTTTGCCAGTCAGCCGAGGAAGGAAGGCCACTGTGCAAACGGTTTTGAGAAAAGTGACCAAATGCTTTGTGTGGAGGGTGCTGCCCAGGTGACCACTGGTCCTACATCTCCACAGTGGTGGATTGAAAAGCGGAATCATTACAGAAAGAGATGTTGAGTTAGAAGAGAGGCGGGGCTTTCCGGAAACTGGGAACATGGGATAGGAGCTCTGGTGGCGTAGTACCTAAGGCATTTGACTACTAACCAGAAAGTTGGTGGTTTGAACCCATCAGCCACTCCGTGGAAGGCAGACTGGGCAACCTACTTCTGTAAAGATTTACCACCTCAGAAACCCAAAGGGGAGTGCTATGAGTCAGAATTGACTTGATGGCAGTGAGTTTGGTTTGGTTTGGTTTTAAGCAGTGATTGGCAATGATTAGCAAGGTAAGCAATGATTCTTTTACTTATGGAATTATTTAAAAATAGGATAGACAGAATTATGCCTTTGAGAGTTTCAGATCCCCTCACCTGCAGGAAGAGGACTAGATCAATAAGCAAACAGTCCCTCACTTCAGCAGTCTCTGGTTTCCACCAACTGAACAGCTCAGTAATCATGAAAATAACCACATAAAAGTCATTAAAAAGGAATTCCTAGCCTCCTTCCAGTATGGATCACACACAAGGCAGTGACCAGAGGCCTCGGCAGGAGCTCATCCATTCAGCCATTGATCTCCATGTAGGGAGAATATCCCAGCCCACTGACATTCTTAAATTTATCCCAGAAAGGGGCACATCTGGAACATTTGCTCACCTACATTTTCAAGAAGCACATCTTCCAAAAATCTTGCCTAAGCCTGGAAATGAACCAGTTTCTGCTTTTCTTTGAAACTGACGATTATGAAAACACTCCAAACCAAACTCACTGCCATCAAGTTGATTCCAACCCATTGTGACCCAAATATAGGGTTTCCAAGGCTATATATCTTTATGGAAGGAGACTGCCTCGTTGTTCTCCCACAAAGCAGCTGGTGGGTTCGAACCACCAACCTTTTGGTTAGCAGCCAAATGCTTTAACCACTGCACCACCAGGGCTTCTTATATGGTTACAGCATGGGATTGATAAATTCAAAGTTATAAATTTGACCTCGGTGTAGATCATTTACCAGCCACTCCTCGGAAGGAAGGTTGGGCAATCCTACTTCCATAGTGATACTGCCTCAGAAACCCAAGGAGGGGTCGCTATGAGTTGGGGCCAACTTGGGATGTAGATTATTTGACTTGGCACACAGAGCAAAGAATCCACTCCACTGCACAGCCTTACTCTGCCCTGCCTTTTCACAGGTACACGTGGTATTACTCACCAGGGGGAAGGGATGATGACTCACTGCAAATGTGTCACCATTACTGGAAAAATCACCCAAAGCACAGGCTTTCACAGCAATGTGTCAAGCGGAATTCTGGTTTAAACCGCAGTGGAGCATAGATGTTCATTTCAGACCCAGGCCCACCATTTATTGGCTTTGTGTCTTTAGCAGGGATTACAAGGCAAGACATAACCTCTTTGGGCCTCCAGTCCCTCTATGAGTGTGCAGAACAAATCAAGTTTATGAGAGAGCTTTATAAAATACTTCCTGTTACCAGTATTGATATAAAGACCATATTTCATCACTGTTGTTTTTGTTAGTTGCTGCTGAGTCGGCTCTGACTCGTGGTGAACATATCTGTAACAGAACGGAACACTGCCCGGTCCTGCACCATCTTCATGGTTAGCACATTTGAATCCATTGTTGGGGCTCCCGTGATGCTCTATCTCACTAAGGGTTTCCCTTGTTTCCACTGATCCTTTACTTTACCAACCATGATGGCCTTTTTTTCTAGCAAATGGTCCTTCCTGATGACATGTCCAAAATAAGCAAGTTTATCGTTCCATCCTCACCTCTAAGGAACATTCTGGTTATATTTCATTGGCTGTGTGAACCCACCAGTTGCACTGCAGGAGAAAGATGAGCCCTTGTGCTTCCATAAAGACTTACAGCCTTGGAAACCCTAGGGGCAGCTCAACTCTGTCCCACAGGGTCACTATGAGTCAGAACTGACTCCATGGTGCTATATTTTTAATACATATATTGTACTCTCTGAGATCAAACTCTGGCTGTCCAAATGCTTTGTTGTAATAGAATTCCATGTGGGGCCAATTTTTAAAAATTCCTTTCCCAGTTCAATAAGTTCATGGTTGTATGGATAAGATTAGTGAAATTAAGGAGTTACTTATAGCGAATCGCAAGTGAAAAGGCCTGTTCTGAGCCTACTAAGGAAAGGTAGGAGGTGCCACGAATGCATTTCCACACCTGTCCCTTTCTCCCTTCTCTAACCCAGATGGGTAGTTTGGGTGAGCTTTACTTTCAGCCTCAATTGTAGTGATTATTTTTTACTTTGAACAAACAAAAAAAGTTCTGGTTATTTTTCATCAGCTGTTTGAACCCACCAGGTGCACGGCAGGAGAAAGATGAATGTGATTAGAAAGAAAAAGAAGAAAGAAGTTGAAGAAAAACTGTTTCTTCGTGGTAAAACCACAGAGCTCGTGAGGGATTCAGCTCACCTGACTCTGCCCTCGTGTACAAGGGGGTGTTGGCTACAGAAGTGATACCATGAACAAAGCAGGGTCTAGAGCAGTGCTTCTGAACCTACTGGGCATCAAGTGATCCCTTTGGGAATTTGACAGAAGCATGACTCCTCTCTCATGAAAATAATCACACAAAATATTGCACGCAATTTCGGGGGGTTCATGGACCCACTGAAGACTATTCCCTGAACCCCAGATTAAGAAGTTCAGGGCTAAAGAAGGCATTTTGTTGTATTAGACTCTGCACCGTCACAAAGCTGCCATCTTGGAGCCACATCACAAATACACCATTGCAGGTGGCAGTGTGCCAGGGCTGGGGAGGAATCCCTGTCACACAAAACCCGTGTCCTAGGGGGTGTCTACCATTTCTCGTTTCTAGCTAGCCTAAATTCTGCTGCAGTTAAGGACCAAGTCTTTCTTCTGTTGCCTGAATTGATGACCGAGAACAGCTGGGTTGTTTCCTATATGAATAACCCTTTAGAGACGTGAAACTATTTTTGGCTTAGAAGTAATGAGTTAGTAGGAGCAGATGAGCAAGAGGCAAAGTTGGTTGAGGGGCTTTAAAAACAGGAAGGTTCCATCTGCCTGAACTTTAAATGGGCCGTCACACCTTGAAAGCAGGGCAGGAATGAAATCACTGAAACCACATGAATAGAAAAGGCCCTTCAGGCCCTCCACTGTTGGTTTAAAATGCTTTTGACTTTAAAATTTAGTGTGACATTTAAGCTAAATGGAGGAAACACATCAAATTTAGCTTAGAATAAAATTTTATTTTGCTAAAGAATTATATTTTTTATTTGCAAAAGGTGAAAATGCTCCCTTAAATACCAGCCCCAAGCATGGATTTCCACTGGATTCACTGCATGAAACAAAAGAGTCTGTCACTTCTTCTTGCCAGGTTTGGGGGCCTTTTCAAGTCCTTGGATGTGTTTCCGAGGGATCTGATACTCATCTACGATCCAAAAAGCAGAAATCCCTCAGTGGAGCAGCCCACCTTCCTGTCCTGCTCCCCCATTCCCACCCCCACCGCCACATCCCCTTGGCCTCCGTGGCCCCAGCCCCCACGGCCCAGATTCTGTACAGCTAACCTCCTGGGCCCTCACAGCCCCACAGTGTGCTCACCCCAGCTGTTAAGCCTCTACTCAAACCATTTCCTGCCGTCTTCTAAACCCAGCTTCTCAGGGAAGCCTAAGGGGAGGGACTACTTATCGCTATACCTCCAGGCCAAAGTGTATATATATTACAGCAATTTCCACTGTGATAGACACTTTCTAAGTAGAGACATTTATAATTTCCTCATGAGAATGTATGTGTGTGTGCCTGTGCTTAATCACGTGTCCTATTTTCCTCGGTATTTCCTCTCGGCACTGCACTGGGGTTTTTCTCATAAAGGGGCTCCCCTCTAGATGTTAACTGATGGATCCTGCCTTGGGCCATGCAATAAATCTGCTCATTGAGCATTTACTATGTGCCAGGCACTGAGGATGTAGGTCTATGCCAGTGCCTAAGGCATTTGACTGCTAACCAGAAGATTGGTAGTTCAAACCCACAAGCCACTCTGCAGAAGGAAGACTGGACAATCTACTTCTATAAAGATTTACCACCTGGCAAACCCAAAAGGGGTTGCTATGAGTCGGAATTGACTCAATGGCACTGAGATTGTGGTTTTTTTTGTCTTTTTTTTGGTGTCTTCAAGAAGCTCAGTCTACCAGAGGGTTCAGACATCAGTAAAAATTAGCCCAGCTGCAGACACTACAAGAAATATAAACATCACTGGAAAGGGCTCTAGCAGCAATTTTTTAAATGCTAACTTAGGGGAAGACAGGAAAAGTGAGACATGCTCTAGGGCTGCTTCCATGTGACCGGAGCTGTGCCAATGAGCCTCTAAGATCAAGCACTCAGGTCACATGTGCAGGGCACACTAGGTAAAGGAACAGCCCAGGCAGAAGCATGCCATGTGAAAGTGCAAGTAGAGCTGGGGACCAGGATGGGACACCAGTATGGCTGAGGCCTGGCCAGGGGTGGGGCTACTGAGACAGCCTGAATGGAAGACTGGGGCCAGCCTGGGAAGGGTGCTGTTTGTTGAGCTTTGGAGCTTATTCTGAAGACAATGAAGACACATATCAAGTCTGAGAGGAGGTGATATGATGACTATTTTAGCAAGCTGACTCAGGCAGAGGTACAAAACTGAGCTACCAGTGTCTTTATGATGGTTTGAACTGAGGACAAACTGGCAGCTGGGAGGCCCAGCATTGGTGAAAAGAATTCAAGCTTAGGAGTCTGACAAAGCCAAGCCCAGCTACAGTACTCAGTAGATGATCTCAAGGCAACGTACTGAACCTCTCTGAACCTCAGTTTCCTCCTGCAAAATTGAGCTAACAGTGTCTTTATGATCAAGAGAGCTATGCAAGGTCCAGGCACAGTGGAGGTGCTCAACAAGTGTTTACAAGGGAAAGATGAGGAAGAAAGCTACTCAAATAGTACAGTGGAGAGAGCTTGGAATCTGGAGTCAGAAGACTTGGCTCAAGCATTGGCTCCACCTCTTGCTAGCTGGCAATATCTGCTTACCCTCTCATTTCCCTCATCTATTAATAATCCCCATCCTACTGGCCCCACAGGTTTGTAGAGTTTGGGATGGGGCAGAACCTGGTACAAACTGTATGCAATGTATAAATATAAATATTTATATTTATAAATTTAACTGAACTAAGTTGCCTGGAAGATTTTTGCCATATTACACCAGCGATGCTGCTTCTCAGAAGGGGCACTCACCAAGCAGCAGCCGGCTGAGTTGGTGGACCTGGTTTCCCTGGATCTGGACCTGCAGGCTGTCCTTGGTCCCAGGAGCAGGAGAGATGCTAGTGCTCGCCTGGCATCGCTGCTGGAGGATGGCGGCCACTGAGCTCGGGTCCAGCCCGTAGGCCTCCAAGTTCCGGACCACGGTCACCTGAGGGGAGAGTCGGGACAGAAGACAGATAGTGGGTGCAGACCACATGCCCCTCCCCTCCTCCAGGGCCTTCTGGACAAGCCACCTTGACAGCTGCCTCACCTCTATGTTCATGCCTATAACCATGATACCTTTTCATCTCAGTAACTTACCTTTGTAAGGTGATTCAGTCTATCCCACACAATACATGTGGGATATCCCAGCCAGTATCACACATATGTAAACATTTGTTTTTATTATGGAGAATTTAAAACAAAAATAAAGTAGAATAATGTAATAACACCTCCTGCCTCACGTACCATCTGATCTCAACAATTATCAACTCATGGTGAACCCTGGTTCCTCTATATTCCATCCACGCCCTGCTCCCACATTACTTTAAAACAAAGATATCACATCATCATTTCATCTATGAATATTTTCAGTATAATCTCTAAAACATAACAGCTCTTTTTAACAGAAAAATAAAACCACGATCACCCTCGAAAATAAACAATAATTCCTTATAACCATCAAGTACCCAATCAGCAACACATGCATCTTCCTGTTAGTCATCAACTTCACAAATGATATGATGGGACTAATACTTTCTGAAAACACAATTCTCCCCTTATTGCTTTAAAACAAGTTGTCTTTCACTCATGACTAGAGATGGTAAAGGGCGTGGATAGGAGGGTTGCTATCAATAAAATCTTAAAAAGTTCCAAATAACATTTGGCACATCTAAGGACTCCATACCCAGAGAATCTTAGACTCAACAGGACATGGGAGGTCACATCTATTCCAGCCCTCTACCCGATGTAAGAATGCAATTATATCCACCTCCCCCAACAAGCAGTCTCCTAATCTTTACTTGAAGACCTCCAGGAAATAACTATTTTTTGAAGCACCAATTTCAGTTGTGAACAATTTGAATTGTTATTATAAAACAAGTGTTTAAAATAAGCTAAGATACATGAAGATTGCTTAGTCCAGTGTTTGGCACATAATTAAAAACAAGAAATAATAGCTACTGCTAATCATTATTAAGGTTATTATTACTGCCAATATGAATTGTTATTATAAAACAAGTGTTTAAATAAGCTAAGATACACGAAGATTGCTTAGTACAGTGTTTGGCACATAATTAAAAACAAGAAATAATAGCTACTGCTAATCATTATTAAGGTTATTATTACTGCTCTCATTTATTGAATGCTTATCTGCCAAGTACTGTTCTAAACACTCACCCATGTCTATTTCTTCATTTGATTCTCACACCAACCTATGACATAGATATTATCTCCATTTTTAACATAAGGAAACTCAGACAAAATGAAAGATTCGGTACACAAGGGCAAACACATAGACCAATGGAACAGAATTGAGAACCCAAAAGTAAATCCATCCAGCTATGAACAGCTGATCTTCAACAAAGAGTAGAAGCCCATTCAATGGGGAAAAGACAGTCTCTTTAACAAATGATGTTAGCAAAACTGGACATCCATTCACAGAAAAATGAAATAGGATCCATACCTCACATTATACACAAAAACTAACTCAAAATAGATCAAAGACCTAAATGTAAAATCTGAAACTATAAAGATCATCAAAGAGAAAATAGAGGCAAACTTACGGGCCCTAATACATGGCATAAATACAGTTTCAAACATAACTAAAAATACACAAGCAGCAGAAAAACTAAAAGTGGGACCTCCTAGAAATTAAATATTTATGTGCATCAAAAAGACTTTGCCCAAAGAGTAAAAAGAGAACCTGCTGACTGGGAAAAAATTTTTGACAATGATATACAGGAAAAGGGACTGATCTCTAAAATTTATAGAAAACTTCAACACCTGAACAACAAAAAGACAGACAACCCAATTAAAAAATAAGCAGGGAGCATGAGCAGACACTTCACCGAAGAAGACATTCAGGTAGCCAACAAAGACATGAAGAAATGCTTGTGATCATTAACCATTAGAGAGATGCAATTCAAAACAACAATATCATCTCACCCCAGCTTTAACAGCAGAGTTCAAAAACACAGAAAACAACAAATGTTAGTGAGAATGTGGAGAGACAAGAACCCTCATACACTGCAGGCAGGACTGTAAAATGGTACAACTGTGGAAAACAGTACAGCATGCTTCTTTAAAAAGTTAGAAATAGAAATACCATAAAATCTAGCAATCCCACTACTAGGTATATATCCTAGAGAAATAAGAGCACATAACAGACATGAGCATACTCATGTTCATCACAGCATTATTCACAACTGCAAAAAGATGAAAATAAGTGTCCATCAACAAATGAATGGATGAACAAACTATGGTGCATACACACAAGAGCATACTATGCAATGTTAAAGAATAACCATGAATCTGCAAAATGTCTCATAACACGGATGAACCTAGAGGATTTAAGCTGAGTGAAATTATTCAATCAACATAACAACAAATATTGTATGAGACCTCTAGTGTAAAAAGTCAAAAAACGGTTTACACACAGAAAGAATCATTACCAGGGGTGGGAGGGGAAAGGAGGGTAAACCACTAACTAGAGGGTAGATATGTATTAACTTGGGCTAAGGGAAAGGCAATATACAGTAAAGAGGAGGACAGCACAAAACGATCAAGGCAGAGGAAGACAGTGGGAAGGACACAGAGTTAAAGGCAACAAAAGTAGATACTATTACATACACAGCTGCTATAAGATTAATAACAATAATCTATGAGTGGATACACAGATAAGACACTCAGGCTGAACAGAGAAGGGAAGGTGAATGGGACTACACTCATGAATATATATACATGCTTGACAGAGATTATCTCTACATACATATTTATATGTGCTACAAATATATCCATGAGTATAATAAAGCATACAGGGAGCAAAGTTAAGAAAACTTCTTAGTCATAACCAAACACCTTAAGGGAATGAATTGCTGGGCTTAGGGGCTTAGGACCATAGTCGTGGAGGACAGTAAGGTCAACTGGCTTAACAAAGTCCACAAAGACAATGTTCTGCATCCTACTTTGGTGAGTAGCAACTGGGGTCTTAAAAGCTTGTGAGCAGCCATCTAAGGTGCAACTACTGATCTATCCCCATCCAGAACAAAGAAGAGTGAAGAGAATCAAAGACGCAAGGAAACAGTCCAAAGGACTAATGGCTCATGTGAACCTCAGCCTCCACAACCATGAGACCAGAAGAACTAGAGAGTGCCTGGCTACCACTGCTGACAGCCATGAAAGGGATCACAATAGGGAGTCCTGGACACAGTGGGAGAAAAATGTGAAACAAATCAAAATCATAAAAAGACCAGGCATACTGGTCTGATAAAAGACTGGTGTAACCCTAAGACTATGGCCCTTAGGCACTCTTCAAGCCAGGAATTGAACTCTTATCGTTCAACTTTCAGCCAAACAACAGGCCTATAAGGTGAACAGTAATACCAGGGAGGTACAGCACTCTTTGGAACAACCAGCCATACAAGATTGAAAGGGCAGCATTTGCCCAGGGATAAAGTAAGAAGGCAGGAAAGGATAGGAAAGAAGAATGGAGGGAAATAGTAAACACAGAAGTGGGAAGAGTGCTACTACACTGTGAGGATTGCAATGAATGTCACAAAACAATATGCATATGAATTATTGAACGGAAAACCAATTTGTTCAGAGGCCAATTTATAGCAATAAGTGCACCATCAAAAGAGAAGAAAGAGCCAAAATCAACACTTTAAACGAACATCTCCAACAATTAGAGAAAGAACAGCAAGAAAAGCCCACAGTCACCAGAAGGAA